CTATTTGTCTCTACCAAAAAGTTGATGATGTCATCACAAATTTTGTTACGAGAAACTCCTTTGAAACACACGCATAGCATGTTTCTTTACCTGTAGTATATACATATATCAGCCCATATATATTTTGATTTTTAAGTTATCGAAGGTACCACCAAAAAATTAAATTCGCAGATTCCATTTTCTTTAAGACAGCGAAAGAGTTTTCGTGATTTCTGGTGTTTTGGTATCATATTCGGCGTTCTGTTTAAATAATTTCAAACCCCTGAAATTTCGAAAAACCCGAGGAAAAAGCACCGTTATCTCGTAATATCCAGAGAGCCTCCCCCCTTGCCCCTAATCTTGCACTAACCACATTACCTACTCCGCAGCAAATATTTTCAGCTTGATCCATACTAATTAAGCCCCGAAGGCCCCATATAGCTTGTTAATTTATTGACACGTCTCGCCATACCAGCACACACAATGTATACACAAGAGCCCCTGATCAATGCCTATTTTGTAAATTTGATGTAGCGTTGCATTATATGAAGTGAGTCTAAATATTTGCGGTGGTCGAGAAGCATAATTATGGCCGTAAACATGGCGGCCACGAATTCGCTGTTTGTATTGGTGATGGTGAGTCGAGAGACCTCTCTGGAATTAATTAGATGGCCTAACCTAACTTACGTAAAAATACGGGAGGAGATGCCGTTTTATAACGACCACCTCGAATGCGATATCGGAAATTGATGTATACTCCTTCCGGTTGCAATTCAAACAAGCTAGTAATTGTGTTTGCCTTTTGTGGAGATATTTATAGTTGGGTATTATAATGGGGAGCTCTGAATGGAAAAGCCGTCATTCAGGCGCAGGAAGGTCGTCTCAGATGATTTTCTTGGGTAACGATGGGGGAGGGGGGTGGCGTGGCGCACCGCGTCGGCGGTGCTCTTAAATTTTAGAAATTTATGCATATTTCGTTGCAAGTTTATGCAGTCTTTGTATGTATAAATGATACTAAGAAGTTTTACGTGTTCCGCATAGATGTAGATTTAACAGTTATGTACTAAACGACATCATAAGAAAATATTATGAATAATAACTATCCCACTTTTGGACTATGGGCTACTCCACTATTAACGTAAAAAACTGTGACCAAACTAGTACACATACCAAATCCTTGCAATTTTTTAGTAAAAGGCGGTGATTATTTCTGCCGAAAACATTTAGCTTATTTTCTCCATAGTCTTTGATACATCACGATCACAGAATTTTTATATAAAAAATCTTGATTATCACTTGTAACAGATGGACAACAATTTTTATCACAGAAGTTACAGGAACCAAAATTATTACCGGGCGTTTTTTAAATTTCTGCCCCTGGTTAGCCATGACGTGACTACTGATGTAAATGTGATGGCTAGCTAGAGCAGAAATTAAAAATATCGCCCGACATTATAGGGTTTTCACAAAAATATTCAACACTGTCAGAGTTGCAGACACTAATAACAAACTGTTCCGTAAACGGGTTCACTATTTCTGAGGAGATGATAGGTTTTCGTTAACATCCATCATTTTTAATATATTTTTTTCATATTAATCATTATGAAAAATGTTTCGATCATGTTTAACTGAATTCGTCTTTAGTTATAAGGCTAAGAGTAATCCTTATATACGTATTACGAGCTTAATTTTAAACTTTAGTTCTTTGTATTTGTTTGAATGGTGTCACAGTTCTAATTTTCGGTAATAATGCCGGTAATTACATTTAACGGTTATAAGGTTAATGACTGCTTTTGTAAACCATACTGGTTAAATACGAGTACATTTTGTTTCTGTTTTACACAAAAGTATAATTATGCTGACGTGAGACAATATTAATGATATTATTATCATTATCATCATTTTCTCCATTAGATTAGTTGTACACTCTCAAAACAGTGTGAAATAAATTTTATTGCAAAATGTATGTATTACTTGTGCTTCAGACTCGTAGGAAGTTCTGGCTAAATAACTTGACAGATTGTTAATGGGAGAGACCGTATCCGAGAAAAGTGTCCGGATTTATAAATTTTCAATACGTGTCATAGACCGTTAACTCCAAGCCTCGTTCCAACTTCGGAGGGTCCACATGACACAACTTAAATCTTCTAAACTTTCACTAATTTTGTTAACCGTTGATAGATTTTTGTTGCCGTAGGAGTAAATCGTGTTTTTATAAAGAATTATTTTTTAAATAATATATTCGTAGAGGGGTTTAATAAAGGTTTCGTACATTCCGTACCTTGTGAAATTAATGTTCCCGATTTGCCACTTCCTAGTGATAATGAGCACTTTTAGATCTGTAATTAATATGTCATCGGTCAGAGTGATTATAACATTTGACTCTTCGTTTTTATTATTTTTGTCTTAAAGCAAACTTGTTTCGTTGTTTTATCGAGTTTTTGTGACTTTTATCACTATCGATTACAAATCAAACAGTTTTTACTTTACAGCATTATAATAGGGTCTATCCGAGGAATTGGTTTTTTCATGTTTTCTCGACGTTTTATGACTCGTAGAGTATGATAAAATAGAGGTATCGCTTCCGTCTGCCTGTCTGTCTGCCCACTGCCGTCTGTCTGTGTCGATTTTTATTATACAGATGTAATCACCGAAACTTCTGGACCGATTATTACCAAATTTTATACACTGATCGGCAAAAAAAACCAGCCACCTTAAAAATTATTAATTTAACTAGGGATCGTTATTTTATTAAAGAACCATTCACTATTGACACAGGATGTATAAATTAGCAAAAAAAAAAGAAGAGAAATAAACGCAGAATTAAATTAAATTTAACAAAATAACAGAAACAGAGCGACAATTTGAGAGACGTCTGTAAGAGTTTACGGCATTGTTTTCGCGTGAAAACGTTTATTAATTGCCAAACTTATAATCAAATGATGAAAAACACTGTTTACAACAACAGCCTCCTTTATTGTTTTATTTTGTTAAATTAAATTTAATTCTGCGTTTATTTGTCTTCTTTTTTTTTGCTAATTTGTACATCATGTGTCAATAGTGAATGGTTATTTAATAAAGTAACGATCATTAGTTAAATTAATATTTTTTAAAGTGGTTTTGCGAAATTTTTCAGGGTGGCCATTCCCACCAAAAATTTTGATGGCGTCACCTCAAAATCTAGCTTGGTTAACGCTATTTAAATTTTTATCACAATTTGTTTGAGTGTTTGACTCCAACTGCGAGGGAAGTCCTGTCTAAATAACTTTAGACTAAACTGCTGACCTTACAACAATTCAAAGAGTAATTTGTGTACCTGGAATTAAAATATTCCAAGTTACTAAAGTTATGTTTTAGAAATAGCAATGATCTGTTTTTTGGAACATGACATAATATATTGTATATTGTAATGGACGGTTTCAAAATGGTGAATGGATCTACTCAGTGCAAGTTTGTAGAGACGGCTACGTTGCAAGGTTTTCAGAAATTAAAATTCTAGAGGCTTCTTTATTAAATCAAGTAATTAATACATTCGTGGGAATTGATAGCGTAGGTAAAGGTAAATCAACACCAAGAGGTCCACTTTCATATAAGATTTTTGATCATTTGAGAGAACAACTTGAGCAAAGACCTCTAACATCTCTGCCAAAATTATACCTGAGAACTGGTGAACCACAAAATATTAAAACGAGGTTACACATGCATTCATACAATATTATAATCGCTTTTGAAAATAACTTCAGTGATGTCACAATATTGCATTTAACATTCCTTAGAGATGAAGATTGGTTTCACTATCTGGTTATGCTGATTCGCAAAACTTTGTAATACTGAAAACCCACATGGTTTTCTTGAGACCTGTCATATTCCCAGAAGGTTGGACTATAGTTAGCATTTTCGCGAAGAAGGATCTATGGACTTGTATATTTTCAAGACTCTATAGCTGGCAAACTATACAGACAAGAATTTTTGCAACAATTGGTACACCAATGGAATTAAGAGCTGCCTTTAGGTTACCGCCCACAGGATGGAGCAACAGCACACACAACAGGCTTAACTTTGGGTTATTTATAACAGTTGTGTGAGTCTGGAGTTTAACCACAGAATGTCCACCACGTTCCTCTGATTTTACGCCATTAGATTTTTCGCTATTTATCATTTTAAAAATCAAGTATTTATACAGAAATTTAATAACTTAGAAGAACTACAGAATGAATTAGAAAATAAGAGTGGACATTTTCAACATATTTTGTAGCATTATTTCTTAATAAAATTTAACACTTTTATATTTTTTTATTGTCAACTTGCTTAAAGAATTTATATCATTTTAAATGAACAACTGGTTTTTACTTTGTCTGAATAAAATTGTCAATTTTCCACTTAATGTAATGCAGTTTAATCCAACAATTGAACACTTGGCATCAACCAGTGAGAGAGTTATATTCGAGTTCTGTTAACTGAAGTGTAAGTCGCAGCGATAAATTTTAATTTTTTGATCCCTTATCTAATTAATGCCTGTGATGCAAGGTTTCAAGTGTAGTTAGTAATCTTCTCTCAATTAACTACAACACTCTGTGGTTTAACTAAGACATCAAACAAATTCGAGAGATAGTTAAACCCTTAAGTAGGCTGTGCAAACTGATTCGTTTGTGAAAAGAAAGAAGAAAGAGACACCGGGGGCAAAGTGATATCGATAAAAGAGCAGCAAATGATAAATACATTTTAAGTATACCTAAATAATAAGTAAATCGCATCATGAGACGTATTCAGAATTATTAGCAATCCAAGTTGTCTTTGTAATTCACATCCTTTAACAAACAAAACAGCAGTGGCGAAATTTAACTACTGCTTTGATAAAATTGCTGATAGGTTAATCAACCATCTTCTAAATATTAATAATGCAATAAATGTATGGATGTTTTTTGAAGATCTGACAAAGAACATCGACTTAAGCTTAATCTTTTTTGATAATCCACAATGTTCAGCAATTCCAGTATAACTGATCCGCCTTTCATTTCCAGATTCCACTAAGAAGTTGCAAGACGTTCTAGTGGAATTTTGCGGGACCGGGCCACCTTATAAGCATAATCCTGATGGGGTAAGTTGCAAACTAATTTCGAAATGAAATTGGAATTAATGTTCGGAGAGATGCTTAAATTAAACGCCATTAAGTCCGCGTAGGTGTTCGACTTGGAATCAACAAAGTTTACATTTATCAGTTTTTAAGAACATCGTTATCTTAATGACCGGCTAAATCGTCCTTAGTTTATATTTCTCTCTTTATCTGCAATTGGGTTTTATACTCGACACTCAAATTTACGACATTTTCAAATTACATCGTGTAAAATTTCTTTCCATACAAATAAATGCTAACTTTACTACCGCAATCTTAATCAGCGTGCGAAAGCGTCATTTTGAACGTTTTAAATGGAGCCATTAAGCAGCAGCCGCAGAAATAACGTTAGTCTGTTAGATGGAGATTAAAATCTAATCAATTTGGAATAGTTGAGACCAATTTTTCGGAAGGTCGCTGAAAGGTCAAGCGGTGTTGACGGAATTTCGAATTGTCTGACGGTAAAAGTGAATTCGAATCCGGTAATATTTAATCTGCAGTTTCACCGGCTCGGAATAAAAAACTGAATTTGTATTCCCACCGTCGTCGTTTTCCCGTGGTGTAGGCGATTTAGGCTCCATAAACGTATATCTTGAGGCACTTCTTGCAGTTATGCGCTCGACCCGTAGTGGGAAAATTATAGCCGACATCTGAAGTTAATCACAGCGTGTTCAATAAAATCGATAACATTTCATTACACACACTTCTGCGAGCCGGAAGATAATTCCCACTGAAAGCAATACATTATCTTCTTCTATAATACACCAAAACTATCGATTAAAGTCCTCTTCTTCCTCCGGCACACGATCCGGTTCGGCTTTAATTATAAATTCTGCTCGTCATCCATAATTCTTGACTGAATGAAACATAATTTCTTTGGGCCATTTATTAAACCCTCGTTCAGAACGACACAAATTGAATCTTGCTTACCATTAATCATAAGAATTAGTCAAAACGCGTTGCCGTGTTCACCTTGCGAACAATAACACGCAAGAGTAGTTTGCGCAATTGAGATTCCGACTTGAAAATTTCGAGAATGATTGATTCGTTAAGAGAAATTCCATTTTTTATTTTGCGCGAGTGCCCGGATATCAAAGGGAAATCTCATTATAGGTGAAAAGTGAAAGTCGGAGATAATGGTCTTCGGGGGCTTATTTCATGTATTTTTTAAGAGGCGCGCTTTTGAGAGGGTTTAAAGCCTCTCTAAATGCTGTTTGGGGGGACGAAGAATTAAAATATTTATTAGAGACGTTTTGGTCGCGGCACGAGTACGAATGGATACAATATTTCATGTAATATTGTTGTTATGATGATAATGCGTAAGGGATGAGATAATAGGAAGTGGGGAGTGGCAGATAGGGGCTCAATTTGGTTCGCATGCGAACTGGCAAGGATTCAAAAATTCAAACTGTTGCTTTTATGTTGGTCAAAACGGGGCAAAATGTGACAGCGTTACAGTTATTACGGGTTTATCGTTGTCGGAGTTCTAGATTTTAAATGCTTATTGGTGTAGTTGCAGATTTTTTTACATTTACGTATCATCTTATCCTAATTTATGCTCTTTCGGAACCCTTCAAAGCTGCGGAATGGAGATTGTGCAGAACAAAAATTTAAACTAATATTATGAAGTGAATCGTAATACTTCCAGTTATGAACTGAAGATGATTTTTATTTTTGGAATTGTCCGTCTGTTGACTTTCCCAGATACATACCCTAATTTCATATAATTATTCATTCTCATGTAAAACTTTTGGACCAAAATAAGGTTCCAAAGCTTTGTTATAAACGAGACGAATATTTTTTTTACATCAATAATAAATTCACAGTTTAAACAGCTTGTTTTCCCAATATATAGTTTGTTTATTGTTTTATATTTTATGACTTTGGCGATTCCAGTTGATCGCTGGGAATTATCAATTTTGCCAAGGAAACTTACTATAGTAGAATTATTTTAATTTTGGCAAGGTGCTATAAAACGATATGTTTCTCTTTCTGTCTTTGTCCGACACACTGAATTTACGCAGTATGCTTAAAAGTGCGGGCATTTTTTATCTGTGTATTTAATGCAGTGTGCCGAACCAAAACAAAATCAGAAACATAGAGATGTTGAAACTGGTACAATTTTACAACATCTTGCCAAAATTAAAAGAATTCTACTGTATTTTATATTTAATGAATATCGTATGTACGGTTTCAAAAAAAAAAAATCGGTAAAGTGCCACTACTTGACTTGGAACCTTAAAATACTCGATTTCTTCGTCACCTTATTTCAAAATCTTCTCGTCATGTAATAGCTTACTTTCCTGACTCATTACGTAAATAACCATTAAAGCAACTTCCTTTCTCATTTAACGCCCGAAAAAATTGTTTCATTTTCTCAAGTTTAATAGGAAGTGACCGTAATGAATGTGTGGATTTACAAGATCCTGCTCTTTGATGTTTTTTGATCCTAATGCAAGAGATGTTCAGGGCGCCCAGACTCTTCCTGGTTCTGTTATCCTATTCACTTAAAACAAGCTACTTTTGTGTATTCGGGTTGTTTTGATATGTAAAGTTAATCCTTCCAAGAGTAATATAATATTTTCGTAATTCTCTCTAAAACGAATTCACTCCCTTTAAATTTTACCTTCAGGAATCTCTGAACAGTTTCGTATCCTTGACTTCGTATATCGTAATGAACATTTTAATTTTTTTTAAATTATCTGCAGGCTTTTACTAAGATCCTCCTTTATCGAAAATTGTTAGTAATGTTTTAATCAAGTTTATCTTGTATAATAATAACAGTGGCTTTGTTAATAACACTATTTTAAACCATTTCAATATTGAGAAGATTATATTTTTTGGTCTAGACATAGTTTTAATGCAGCTGGATTCGGTCGCTATCGAAACATCAGGCGTCTTTTAGTAAGATTCCGGTTCTCGGCTCGTTTTATTTTGAATAGATAAAAATCAAGCAGACGCTCTAGAGCGTTATACTGATACCATAGTATAGATATTTAAACATCCTTCCGTCTAATATTTCTCCGCGAAGTCTATTTTCTTTCCGTCTGCACGTTTAACAAACTCGAATGCCGAACAGCAGCACTAAAAGCCCTTGCTTATTCCACTGTAAAAAGTAAACTTGAAAAATGGCTCTGATATTGATATCTCGATAATAACCTGAAGCTGCCGCTGAATTTGAATGAACCTGACATTTCCATAGCCCCTAGTAAATCATATCTAGTTACCGTCTTCTCCGCTTATAAAGTGCCCAATTCTTTGTTCCACATCAAATAACAATAACAAAATACTACGAAAATTCCTTTGTTGTCATGTAAATACCTCATCTCTGGATATATTCTCGCAACGTCGCCGTCGGGTAGTTATCGGGCTATTTTAAAAGGAAAAGGAAGCTTTTTACCCTTTGCGGAATTTATTAAGCCAGACCTTAATGACGCGGCTCGGGAAGACGACCAGATGAAAATTTCGTCATTTAATTGCTTTATCGAGAAATATTTTATGATTAAGGAAATTACTTTGTCATAAAGTGGATAATATAGTGTGGGCGTGAGTTTCCTTAATGTGCTACAAAGTTGATGTCTTGTTAAAATATGTTTGAGCAAGTCTTTATTATAAATTAGGTGTTACTGTTGTTTTTTCTCTTCTTTGTCTTCTTTTTCGTCGATTTTTTCTTCCTTTTCTTGTTTCTCCTTACGTCTCATGTCAACAGCGGTGGCGTTTACAAATCCCCCGTAAACTTGCATAGTGCGATTGTTTTCGTTACAGCGAACTTCAAAACAACACTCTGGATATTCTTTGGAAGGATCTCCTGGGTGGACACGGCAGTGGACCCTGTCGCTGAGAGCCACTAAGGGACACCTGCAAATGTAGGCTTTAGTAAGTTTCTTCAGTGCCTTATTTAAAAACATTGTAAAATTTGTCAAACATTCCACGATTTGACGTGCAAGAATATCAAAAAATTTGTTAAGGGGAGAAACAATAACTCTCAAATGGAATACCGTGTATATTATGCATCAAAGGTGTGTTTTCCTTTAAAATATATCGTAGAAATAATACCGTATGATTCAAAATTTTTCAGACAAAGGGAGGCTGTGATTCATATTGGTTTTCTATCACAATGCCCTTGTATCTGAAAACTTTTGGATCATACAGTATTAAAAATTTTTCTCTTGGAACTTCTGGGTTCTATAACAAATCAGGGGTCCTCAAGATTCTTTATTATTATTTTTTTTAATGAGAACAGCAGGATTTGCCAAGATTCTTTTAAATTTTTTCTACAAGGTTTCAAATGATTAAATGGGCGAAGAGGGTCATGGAAGCGTGCCGCCTATCAATTTATATGTACTTTAGTAAATACTCAAGGACGCACGACAAATACCACACGCATCTGCATAACTGGTTGCCTAAGTACTTCATACCTTATGTTATTAGAAAATAAAATTTACAATAAACAAATTTATTGTGGTTAAACATCACAGTCAATGTGGAAAATGTTCACCATTTTTTTCAAAGCACATATTCATTCTTTTTTTCTTATTTTCAAAAATGTTCTGTAACATCCTTTCGTCAATGACACATTGTTTAATTTCACGTTGCAACCGGAACTCCTGACTGCTGAGACAATCTTGTCAAAGATGTATGCAAATTCTGCTGGAGTCATTCCCTCAATTTATCAACAACTTCCTCAGATACTGAAGGTCTCCCAGGAGATTTCTCTTTGTTAACACTGTCGATTCAAACAAATCTATTGGTTACATCTGTAATCTGAGCCTCTAATGACTTTTCTTGAATTCGCAAATCAGGGTAATTGACGAGATATTCTTGCTTACAAGCGGTTGCAGAGTACATTCACTCTCCGTTTACGAATTTCCCATTGCGATAATAAGGCAACAATGAACAGAATAAACCATTTGACAGTCTTCGCTTCCTAGCCCGAAAACAAAGCTTTCGTACGCAAGCACCAAAAGTCTTGAAAACGACTGCTTTGCTATTTTGAGCTTGAATCAACGAGAATTATTGAAAAACTTTAGAACAATAAAAGCGATTACTTTAAATGATAAATTACAAAAATGGTATTAATGACAAGTGGGAACTGTCATACTGAGGCATAATTTCAGCGAAGCAGGCCAACTACGCCTTTAGAATCATTTATAAAATCCCTGTACAATAAAATACCGGAGATGTTCAAAGGACTATAGGAACCCCAAAATTATTTTAAATTTGTAGTGTTTCTTAAATAAAACTCCATAGTTTCCTTGCCTTATTTAATACCCGCGATTATATACAAATAAAGAAACACAACTTCTCTAACTTAACGCTCTATTCGACGGCCATCATTGCTCTCTTTCTGTAGCGCATGCTCTGCACTGCGTGCGCCCACACCTATGCAACTACCTACACCACACTACTCTCCCCTTAAAAAAATATAAGAAATCTCCTTAGTATCGGAAACGGTCTGGCGGTTTCAATTGACTACGCCGTCTCAGCTTTGTGACTAAAGAGCTTTCTTTTGACAACTCTGTTTGATTATCCTGCACGTCCTGATCAATCTTACAATCTAACAGAATTTTCCTATCCTCTACATAGTTCTTATCCTCAGTATCTACGTTCTTATCTTGTACATTCCGTAGTGCCCTATTGACTAACAGCTGATTTATATGTCGTTTCCACACATAACCTTCCGTTAATTCTACTAAATAGGTGCGCGGCCCTAATACCTTGACAATGCTGCCTGCACACCAAGCTGGCTTGGCGTGGCGATAATCACGTGCTAGGACAGTATCATTTACATGAAATTGTTGGGATCGCTTACCTTTATAATGTTTAACTGCCTGAGCTTGCTTTTTACGCCACGTTTGCTGCAAGCCTGCCTTACAAACATCTACGGCCCTGGTGTCGGGTCGTAACAAATCTAGTCTACATCTTAGATTCCTACCTAACATTAACATTGCTGGTGATTGACCAGTCATACAATGAACCGTATTTCTATAATCCAAAAGGAATTTGTTTAACGCTAAATTAAAATTTGCAAGATTGTCATCTTTTAAACATTTGTATAACGCCCTCTTGACCGTTTTAACAGAATTCTCCGCTTGACCATTCGTAGCGGGGTGATATGGAGCTGATCTTTTAAATCGGATACCATTAACTCGCAAAAAATTTTCAAATTCTTCCGATGTAAAAGCTCTGCCATTATCCGACACAATGGTTTTGGGAAACCCAAACCTCGCAAACAAACTTCGCAAAACATTAATGGTTGCTTGAGTTGAGATGTTTGTCATAACAAACGCTTCTGTCCATTTACTGTACGCATCCACCACAATTAAAATTTGTTTATTGAAAATCGGCCCTAAAAAATCTATATGTATCCGTTCCCAAACTGAATCTGGAATTGACCATGGCATTAGTTTACTTAAACCAGGAGCCTCACGCAACTTTAAACAATTTGGACAATTTGCAATGAAATTTTCTATTTGAGTGCTCATATTAGGCCACCACACGTACGAACGTGCTAAACTTTTTGTTTTCACAATTCCCATATGGGATCTATGTAGTTCCTGAAGAATATTATGTCGCAACGCTTTTGGAACCACGACTCTATAACCAAACAAAATACAATTCCCTTCTACGGTGAGATTATTCTTGTATTGTTCGTACCCCTTTAACTCCTTGGTTATACGTTTCGGCCACCCTTTTTGAATATATTTCAACACCTTACTTAATGCCTTGTCCTTCACAGTCTCCGACGCGATACAAGCACTGTCGATAGGTAGGTCTGAGTTAGAAAAAATATAATTAAAATAAGTATAGTCAGCAGCTGGTTCCGTAAACTCGTCTGCTACTGGTAACCGCGACAACGCATCGGCATTATTATCCATTGACTTGATAAACCTAATATCGTACTCATAATTCGCTAATATTAACGCCCAACGCTGTAAACGATTCGCCGCTAAAACTGGTAAACCCCGTTTAGGGCCAAAAATTGTAACCAAAGGCTTATGATCTGTCTGTAAAATAAACTTATGACCAAAAAGATATTGATGAAACTTAGTAACCCCGAATATAATTGCTAAAGCCTCCTTTTCTAACTGACTATATTTCCTTTGCGCGTGCGATAACGTTCGAGAAGCGAACGCTATTGGATATTCGACATTATTTACTACATGCGAAATAATAGCTGCAACCCCATGCTCTGATGCATCAGTCGTTAAAACTATTGGCAATGTCGCATCATAATGCGCTAACACTCGATCTGATGTCAATATTTCTTTTACTTGCACGAAAGCCCGTTCGCAATGCTCCGACCACACAAACTGTGAATCCTTCTTGAGCAATTCATATAATGGGTGCAACAGACTCGCATTGTTAGGTATAAATTTATTGTAATAATTTACCAACCCTAAAAAAGCTTTCACTTGCTTAACATTCTGCGGTCGTGGAGTGTTCTTGACATCTCTCACCTTATCCTCACAAGGATGTAACCCAGTCTTGTCAATCACGTATCCTAAATACGTTACCCTATCTTGGAAAAATGCACATTTCGAAAATTCAATGGTTAACCCGCAATGTTGTAATCTAGTCAATACCGCGTGCACTCGCTCTACATGCTGGCTAAAATTCTCTCCCGTAATCAAAATATCATCGAGAAAACAACACACCCCATCTAACCCTTGTAAAATCGTCTCCATTATTCTTTGAAACTTAGATGGTGCACATGCTAGCCCGAACAGTAAGCGCGTGTACTGAAATAACCCCTTATGCGTTGAAATTGTCGTAATTTCTCTTGACTGTTCATCTAACCCTATTTGCTGATAAGCTCGTGGAAGATCTAACTTCGTGAAGGTTTCTCCTTTCAATTTTGCAAAAATTTCCTCAATCCTAGGTAAAGGAAACAAATCCGCCTCTACCGCTAAATTTGCTGTGACTTTATAATCAGCACATATCCGTACGGTGCCATCTTTTTTAATGATCGGAACGATAGGCGTTCCCCAATGACTAAAATTAACCGGTTGTAAAATTCCCAACTTAACTAACCGCTCCAGTTCTAGCTCCACCTTGTCTTTAATTGCAAACGGTAACGGCCTAGGTTTATAAAATTTAGGCTGAGCCTTTTCTGAAATATTTAACCGTATGGTGCTCCTATTGAACAACCCTAACTGATCTGAAAAAACTGTCGGAAATTGCCCTAACAATTCCGCGACGCTCCCATTATTATTATTTGCGGACTCAATTTTATTTAAAAATTCCAGATTAAATTTGTAATAAAAATCTCGACCTAGTAAAGGTGGACCTCCGTTTCTAATGACATACAACTTCAACTTATGGCGCAAATCTTTAAACTTAATTTCTACTTCGACATAACCTAATGGTACAATTTTCTGTCCATTATAATTGGACAACCATTTACCGTCTGACCTTAATGCTAAATTACAAAAATGTTCACTCCAAAACTTTTCAGAAATTACCGACACAGATGCACCACTGTCAAATTCAAACCTTAACTTGTCCTCACCAACTTCGACTTCTACCTGAATTGGCGCGTACCTGACCTCGTTCGTCTGCACCCTGAACATGGTTTCTTCTGCCTCCGTCGACAAAAAATTATGACTTGACCTGCCACCTTTCTTTGAACTTGAGCAAACCGCTGCTAAATGACCTCGAATTCCACAAATATGACATATGTAATTCTGATAACGACACTTACTGACATGGTGTCCCTTTTTACCGCAAACCTTACACCATAACTGCGATCCTGACTTGGCTGCTAGCTGGGAAGTAGCCCCAAATTCCGCCTTTCCTGTCACACGACCGTTGCCTCTTCTTAAACTTTTTGACTCTCTTCCCTGGCCTTGTGACTC